TGCAGTCTGTTGCTTAAAATATTTTATTCCAGCAAGAACTCATCTATGTGGTCTTTTATTAAACTGTCCATTATCTTCCCAACTATAGAAGTTAAACTAACAGGTCTATAATGACTTGGTAAAGATTTTGATCCCTTTTTAAATATAGGCACCACATTGGCCTTACGCCAATCCAGTGGTACTATGCCAGTCATTAAAGAGTTCCTAAAAATGAGAAACGCTGGCTTTGAAATGACAGAGCTCAATTCTTTAAGGACCCGTGGGTGTATGCCATCCGGTCCAGGTGCTTTATTCACCTTTATTCTGTCTAAAATATTTTTGGATCATATCAATTGTGAGCCAATGTGGATCATCTGTAGCTGTGTCAATACCATGCCCATTATGGAGAAGAGCTCCCTCATGCTCCTTTGTATACACAGAGCTGAAGAAGATATTTAATACATTTGCCTTCTCTTTGCCCCCAGCCACCCACTCTAGACTTGTCAAGGGCCTACATGCTCGGACCGGACCTTTTTACTATTAATATATTTGAAGAGTTTTTTTTGGAGTTGGTCCTGCTATCTTTTGCAATCTGTCATTCGTTTTCAATTTTCGCTGCCTTTATTTCCTTTTTGCATATTCTGTTATACTCTTTGTAATGCTTAAATGATGATAGCTTAACACCAAGGGGTTAAATATTCCTTCATCCTTCCCATAAACCTCTCCCCCAGCACAGCAAACCCCCTTCCATTTAGGTGTAAACTATCTCTAGCATATAGGTTGCACCCCAATGAAAAGTCAGCCCGGTGCTGTAGAAACCCAAATCCTTCCTCTTACACCAGGACTTCAGCCATGCATTGAATTCTCTAATCTTCTCCTGTCTTTCCTGAGCTGTGCATGGCACAGGTAATATTTCAGAGAATATCACCTTGGAGGTCCTTCCCTTCAACTTGCAGCCTAGTTCTTTAAATTGATTCTTAAGGAGCCTCCACCTTCCATGTATTCTGTCATTGGTTCCAAAATGGACCAAGCCAGCTGGGTCATGCCCAGCCCCTCCCAGTAATTTATCAACCCAGTCCACCACATGCCGAACCCTTGCAACAAGGAGACAACAAAACATTCGGTTGAGGCGATCCTGGCGACAAAATATTCTATTAGTCCTTCTGATTATAGAATCCCTACTACCACCAGCTGTCTAGGCCTTCCTGCATTATCCTCACCACCCATTCCAGATGGTATGCCTTCCCGGCTGTTAGGGATAGCAGGGAATTCCAGGGCTGCCACCCCTGAGCTTGCCACCCCCACACATCTTCACCCAACTTGGCAAATCTGTTTGTTTGGGTGCACAAACCCAGGGCCAACCTTCCTTTTCTGTGAGCTACTACCACTCCCTCTCGTTACAGTAACCCATCTTTCTGATTATCAGGAGGTAGGGTTTGAAATAACTTTAAACCACCATTTGCCAACAGCTCAAAACACCATATTGGGTGGATTTTAGTATATAAAAGGACCTGCAATTCTTTTCAGCCAGACTTGTGATCAGGCATTCCTTCCTAGCAGCACTACAATGAGCCACTGCCAGTGTAATTATTGCTGCACCTTATAGAATGTGCATATGGAGTTACGCTTTTATAGAAAGGTATGGGGTGGGAAAATAGGGTAACCAGAGCTATGTACAGGGGTTAGACAAAAAATAAGGACGCTACATGATTTGCAGGTGTGAAAGTGATGACATGTTTCATGTTGAAAGCAGAGGTGATGTAATGTGCTTTTGCTTTCGTCCTGTGCTGAGACACCTAGCTAACAGGTGGGAAGCCACACTCTTGTCCTTCACTGTGTGCACTGCTAGTAATATGGAGTCATGTCAGAGCTTATTGAGCTTCAAATTGTTGGTGCCGCTTAGCTGGTGCTTCTGTGCCTGAAGTTTGAAAATGATTTGCCATGTCACGAGGCACAGTATCAAAAGTTATGACGACACATACATTTTGCAGGAAAACGTCGCCTGATAAGCATAAGCGTGGGCAACATGGTCAACTGACTGAAATACAAAAGGACATTGTGCAGGATTGTGACCTGGAATAAGAAAACAACTGCTGCAAAAGTGACTGCAAAGCTCAGTCTCAGTCCCGTGAAGACACCTGCTAATTATGTAGTGCTTCCAATTTTTTTGTTTAACCCCTAAATAAATGTGTGTGTATAATCACCTCCATGACCACCTAGACATGCAGACTGCTTCTGCAAACATTTGTGGAAGAATGGGTCGTTCTCAGGAGCTCAGTGAATTCAAGCACTGTAGCGTGATAGGTTGCCACCTGTGCAATAAGTCCATCCTGAAATTTGCTTGCTACTAAATATTCCACGGTCAACTGTTAGTTCTATAACAAAGTGGAAGCAACTGGGAATAATAGCAACTCAGCCACAAAAGAGTAGGCCATGTAAAATGACAGAGCAGGGTCAGCACATGTTGAAGTGCATAGTGCGCAGCAGTCGCCAATGGTCTGCAGAATGAATAGCTAAAGACCTCCAAACTTCATGTGGCCTTCAGATTGGCTCATCAACAGTGCGTAGAGAGTTTCAAGGAATGGGCTTCCATGGCGGAGCAGCTGCATCCAAGCCCTACATCACCAAGTCCAATGCAAAGCGTCGGATGCAGTGGTAAAGCACGCCGCCACTGGACTCGAGAACAGTGGAGACGTGGTCTCTGGAGTGATGAATAACGCTTCTTTGTCTGGCAATCAGATGGACGTGCCTGGGCTTGGTGGTTGCCAGGAGAACGGTACTTGCCAGACTGCATTGTGCCAAATGTTAAGTTTGGTGGTGGGGGATTATGGCGTGGGGTTTGACTTAGCCCCTTATTTCCAGTGAAGAGAACTCTTAAAAGGCATCAGCATACCAAGACATTTTGGACAATTTCATGCTCCGAACTGTGCACATAGCAAGGTCCATAAAGTCCTGACCTCAACCTAATAGAACTCCTTTGCGAAAAATTAGAGCGGAGACTGCGAGCCAGGCCTTCTTGTCCGACATCAGTGCCTGACCTCACAAATGTGCTTCTGGAAGAATGGTCAAACATTCCCATAGACACACTCCTAAACCCTGTGGACAGCCTTCCCAGAAGAGTTGAAGTTGTTATACAGTGCCTTGAAAAAGTATGCATACCCCTTGAAATTTTCCACATTTTTTCATGTTACGACCAAAAACGTAAATGTATTATATGTGTTAGAGCAACACAAAGTGACACGTAATTGTGAATTGAATGATAAATGGTTTTTAACATTTTTTTACAATTATGTGAAAAGTGTGGCGTGCATTTGTATTCAACCTCCTGAGTCAATACTTTGCAGAACCACCTTTCGGTGCAATTATAGCTGCAAGTCTTTTTGGGTATGTCTCTACCAGCTTTGCACATCTAGAGAGTGAAATCTTTGCCCATTCTTTGCAAAATAGCTCAAGCTCTGTCAGATTGGATGGAGAGCGTCTGTGAACAGCAATTTTGAAGTCTTGCCATGGATTCTCAATTGGATTTAGATCTGGACTTTGACTGGGTCATTCTAACGCATGAATATGCTTTGATCTAGACCATTTCATTGTAGCTCTGGCTTTATGTTTTGGGGTCTTTGTCCTGCTGGAAGATGAACCTCCACCCTAGTCTCAAGTCTTTTGCAGACTCTTCTAAGATTGCCCTGTATTTGGCTCCATCCATCTTCCCATCAACTCTGACCAGGTTCCCTGTCCCTGCTGAAGAAAAGCATCCCCACAACATGATGCTGCCACCACCACATTTCACTGTGGGGATGGTGTGTTCAGGGTGATGTGCAGTGTTCGTTTTCCGCCACACATGGCGTTTTGCTTTTAGGTCAAATAGTTAAATTTTGGTCTCAGCTGAACAGAACACCTTCTTCCACATGTTTGCTGTGTCACTCACATGGTTTCTCACAAACTGCAAATGGGACTTCTTATGGCTTTCTTTCAACAATGGCTTTCTTCTTGCCACTCTTCATAAAGGCCAGATTTGTGGAGTGCACGACTAATTGTTGTCCTGTGGACAGATTCTCCCACCTGAGCTGTAGATCTCTGCAGCTCCTCCAGAGTTACCATGGGCCTCTTGGCTGCTTCTCTTATTAATGCCCTCCTTTCCGGCCTGCCAGTTTAGGTGGACAGCCATGTCTTGGTAGGTTTGCAGTTGTGCCATATTTTCCATTTTCAGATGATGGATTGAACAGTGCTCTGTGAGATCTTCAAAGCTTGGGATATTTCTTTATAACCTAATCCTGCTTTAAACCTTTCCACAACTTTATCCTTGACCTTTCTGGTGTTTTCCTTAGCCTTCATGATGCTTTTTTATTTACTAATGTTCTCTAACAAACCTCTTAGGGCTTCACAGAACAGCTGTATTTATGCTGAGATTAAATTACACACAGGTGGACTCCATTTACTAGTTAGGTGACTTCTGAAGGCAATTGGTTCCACTGGATTTTATTTAGGGGTATCAGAGTAAAGGGGGCTGAATACAAATGCACACCACACTTTTCAGATATTTATTTGTAAAACATTTTGAAAACCAATGATCCTTCCACTTCACAATATGTGGAAATCTTCAAGGGTGGGCAAACTCAATATTAAACCCTACGGACGAAGACTGGCAATATAGTGTGTGTGTGTATGTGTGTGTATGTGTATATATGTGTGTGTGTGTATATATATATATATATATATATATATATATATATATATATATATATAAATAAAATATTGTTTTGCTTTTTGTTTTTGAAAATTTTATAAAGTTTTTTTTTTATTATTTATTATCCTTTTGGCAAAAAAAGATTTCCTTTGTGAACCAAATTTTCAGCTTTCAGTGTCATGACTGAGTCTGCAATTGGTGTATTTGTGCGCAAGCAGTAGAGAATAACATGCCTTTTTTTTTTTTTTGTTAGAAATGTGATGTTCATCGGTTAGAAGAAGCTCCGCCAACTACGGCTGTTTTAACTAGGGAGCAGGGCCTGCAGTATTACAGGACTATGCAGACCATCCGGCGTATGGAGCTCAAATCAGATCAGCTGTACAAGCAAAAAATCATCCGTGGGTTTTGCCATCTATACGATGGTCAGGTAAGATGCTGCTAAATGATCTCCTTTTCAGAGGAGCTGGTGCTAGAAGATCTCAGGAACAGCTCCTCTGAGAAGTATGAGATTCAACATATTCTGAACCACTTTATTCCTAGAAAGACTACTAGACAATATTCTCCTTTTGTGAATATAAAACTCTTCTCTCTACAGGAAGCTTGTTGTGTTGGCCTGGAGGCATCCATTAATGCCACTGATCACCTAATCACAGCCTATCGAGCTCACGGATATACCTATACCCGCGGGGTGTCAGTGAAAGAGATCCTGGCTGAGCTGACAGGTATGTACAGAAGAGCCTTATTGGTATATAAAGCACAGCATCTTAATTGCTTTGCAGTAGGGATGCACCAAATTTTGTTGGCCAAAAATACCGCTATCGGCCAATATGAAAATAGAAATAGGAGCTGATACAGGTGCCGAAAATAGCCGTGGTATTATTTTTTTTCAGCTGCGATTCCCTTTACAATAAAAGTGGTCTGAGCTGCGGATTCGCAGCTAGATCACTATTGAAGCAGCGATAAGTGACACCCTCCCAAGCGCTCCGTTGGTTCTCAGGCTTACCTGGGCGATTGCTAAGCCCGAAAACCCATCCAACAGTCTTGGCGGCTGTGCATAGAGATCATTGAAGGATAGATGGCCTCCATTCCTCTTACGTCACTATGTCACATCTGGTTCTTACACTGTGTAAGCAAGGCCTTTTTTGTGGATTTTTTTTTTTTTTTAATTTATTTAATGCTTTACATTGTAGAGGAGAGATGGGGGGTCTTATTGTCTTATTGACCCTGTCCTTAAAGAGGATCTGTCACTGCTTATTTCTATCACAAGGGATTTGATAGGAATAAAAGTGCTTAAAGAAAAATAAGATTTAAAGGGACAATTAAAAAAAGTAATAAAATATATATATTTTTTTTTAATTTTACTCCCCACGCCCACATATGTAAACAATGTTCAAACACACGTGAGGTATCGCTGTGAACGTCCGAGTGAGTACAATAATTCTACCACAAGACTTCCTCTGTAACTTTAAACTGGTAAGCTGTAAAGCGTCACCCATGGAGACTTTTTAGTACCATAGTTTAGCGCCATTCCACGAGCGTGCGCAGTTTGAAAGCATGACATGTTGGTTTTTTATTTACTCGGCTTATCACTGTGCTGCATTTTTTTGTGTTTCCTCTAATCTGGCCACTTGACCTCCGGAAGATTTACCCCATCATGAGCAGGCTCTATTTTGCTATATGGAGCTGTGGTACTGTAACTGACAATTGCGCAATCATGCAATACTGTACACAAATGAAATTCGTAATTTTGTTGCCACAAATAGTGCTTTCTTTGGTGTGTGATCACCACTGGGTTTTCTTTTTCATTTTTTGCACAATGTAAGACCACAAAAAAATTATAATTTCTACTTTTATTTGTAATTTTTAATTCATGAATTTAACCCCTTGACGCCGACATCACAAATATGCAACTTCACAGAACTGGGCTCATTTCGTGGGGCCGCATATTTGCGTACCTGTCTTTGTGCTGGGAGCACAGCGCGTTCCCAGTACAAAGACCGGGGTGTCGCTGAGAGCCGCGGGTCCCGTTCGAACGATCGGTACTCCCAATTCCGGGTCACATGATCGCTATGACAGCCTCTGATTGGCTTTCACAGCGATCAGTCACTGTATATCGTGGCCCCCTTGGTTTTTTTTTTTCTCTCTATGAATGTAGGAGAGAGATACATTGTGTATCTCTCTAATTCCTGGCATAGAGGGGAAACAAATGTTTGTTCAGAAAAAAGATAAATATTAAAAAATAAAGAAAAAATACCTAGATCAAGGTTTGATCTAGTTCAGTGCCGGGGTTAGTGTCAGTGTGTTTTTAGGTAAACAAAAAACAAAATGAGCACTATTGTTTCTGGGCTGTACTACCGGTGCAAACAACAAATAACATACACATATATGGTATCTCTGCGATTGTCAAGAGCTGGAAAACTTATTTTGGGTTGTTCTATGGAGGTAGGTTATGGTAGTAACAAGAAGCACACAGCTAAATTAAAAAAATATTTTGTTTTACTGTTTTGGACCAGTTTTCCTTTTATAATAAAAATCAGGAGATATCCATTACCATTTACCACCAAATGAAACCCCAATTTGTCCTAAAAAAAAGGTATAATTCACCTGGATGTACAAAGTAGTTGATATGATATGTACAGTTTTACTAACATGTGAACTTTGCAAAATTGTTCTTAGGCATTAAGATTTGTTTTACCCTTAGACGTGAAGGGGTTAAATAGAAAGCTGAATGTAATCCAATTATATATAAAAAATATATACATTTTTAAAACCTGTCCCATTTCAGTTTTTGGCCAGTGCATCCTGAAATTTCAGTTTTGGCACCAGAATTTTCATTTCAGTGCACTACTACTAAAGGTATTCTGTTTTTTTTTTTTCCCCCATACCACCTGTGATTATCCCCTTCATGGCTGCAGGTAAAACAAATCTTGCCTGAACACTGTTTAGCATAACTACATGTTATCAGAACTATTTAGTTTTTCCAGGCAAAATATACCTTGAATTTTCTGGACAAATTGGACATTTATTTGGTGAGAATTTGTAATAGATATCTCTTGTGTTTTTTTTTTTATATATCAAATGAAAACTGGCTCAAAATAATAAGAAAAAAGGATTTATTTATTTAGTGTCAGTGTGTTTGGCTAGGAAAAAAACAAACAAAATGCACACTATTAGTTGAAGCGGAACAGAACTCAGAAAATAAAATAAATGGGAACAGGCAGGCTATTTATTGTGCGAGAGACAAGCAATGTCTTTTCTGCAATAAAATACACTAACCTGCCTGTTTCCAATCCTCCCCAGAATGTAAACAGAGCTGCGCATGCACGGGATGAATAACTCCCACGGAAGCCAGGAAGCAAATGCTGGTGAGTGACCCCCACAGGCATCAGACTATTGGAGCAGAGGTAAGTATTAGTGCCTTTAGTTCCACGTTTAAACTAGTTGCATAAAAGTATATGTAATTAAAAACGATCTTCACAGTTTTTTTTTTTTTTTTTTACACTGTTCTATTTTTCATGGGACAGAGTAAATGTACCACTTTGACCCATGTTGCTTAGTCCTTCCTAAGTCTAGTTATGAGGTCCAACCCTCCCACTCCACAAATCCAGCAACAGCTTGGAAGTAGACAGACTAATTGTAACGGCAGCTTCTTTCAGCTCAGAGCATTTTTCAGAGAGAAAGCGACTGCGGGCGGACATGCCCCATCTACTCTCCCCTCCCCGCATTTCTCTTGTCTCAAAAAAGTGCTCTGTGGTGAAACATGCTGCCATTACAATTGGTCTGTCTGCTTCCTAGTTGCTGCTGGATTTTTCCTACTGTGGGTGGCAGGTTGAACCTCATAACCTAGGATGCACCTAACAACATGGGACAAAGTGCTACATGTATTTTGTGCTGTGATGGGGGAGCGGCAGAACAGTGTAAAAAAAACCGTAATGATAGTTCTTTAATAATTTATTACTGCATGCATGATTTATGTTTTTTTGGATTTTATCTTCAACCACTTGCCCTCCTAAGGATTTACCCCTTCATGACAAGGCCATTTTTTGTGTTACGGCGCTGCGTTTCTTTAACTGACAATTGCTTGGTCATGCAACTTTGCACCCAAATGAAATTTTTAGTTTTTTTTCCCCACGAATTGAGCTTTCTTTCGGTGGTATTTGATCGCCTGTGCGGTTTTTATTTTTTTTGTGCTATAAGCAAAAAAGACCGACAATTTTGAGAAAAAAAAAAACATTTTGGACTTTTTGCTGTTAAACATGTCCAGTAAAAAAATCAAATTTCTCCATAAATTTAAGCCAAAATGTATTCTGCGACATGTCTTTGCTAAAAAAAAATCCCAATGCATGTAAATTAATTGGTTTACGTGAAAGTTATAGCGTTTACAAATGGCGGTATAGATAATGGGATTTTTTATTTTTCTACTAGTAATGGCAGCAATCAGTGACTTTTAGCGGGACTGCAGCGGACATTCTGACAATGGGGGGGAACTAATTTGGTGTCACTGACATCTCCAGTGACACCAATACAGTGATCATTGCTAATATAAAAAAAAAAGCACTGACACTGTACTATTGGCACTGGGCAGAAAGGGGTTAATGTGAGGGGTGATCAAAGGGTTAACTGTGTGCTGGGAGTGTTTTTTACTAGGGGGCGGGGGTGTGTGTTCTTCACTGTAAGCTCACTGTACTCTGCACAGTCATCCCTAGCAGTGTGCTCGAGCTGACAGTGAGGAAGATTATCTTCCTCCCCGTCGGAGATGCTCGGTAATCACCGGGCGCTGGCGGTTAATTACCGGCCGGGACCTGATAATTCACATCCACGGCTGCGAATGGCGGTGCGGGTAGGACACACGCCCCCTACTGAGGATTGCAAAATCACGTATATATACGTGATTTTGCACACAGGTGCCGCCCTGTAGCAGTATATCTGCTATAGGGTGGTCCTTAAGCGGTTAACTAAACATTTTATTGCACTTAAAAGTAAACCGAAAAAAAAGCTGCCATTTGTTGATTTCAGAAGCTTTCTCCTCCTTGTGTCTTTACTTGGAAGACTTGGCTGCAATTATAGCAATAATTTTATTATTGCATTAAAGTACATTTCCAATGTGGACAAAAGTAAAATAAATCAATGACCTCTGCTTGTTATTCTCCCAACATAAAAAGCATATGTGGCTGTTATACTCTATTGTCCAGTGCATGTTCACTAATCCAGCATTGCAACACCCTTCCACTTCCGGATTAAATGGTACCCAGTTAAATTCAACCCATTTCCTATAAAGCCAGAGTATCAAGGCTTCATGCCCTGTCCTCACAGGATGAAGCTGCAAAGAATGGCACCATATATATAATGTGATTGAGATATATGGCGCTGCTCTCTGCTAACTTTAGGATCCACCTGGAGGAAGATAACATCACGGTGTTAAAAAAAAAAAAACCACCATGAATTAAAGATAGATAGATATATATATATATATATATATATATATATATACTGTATATATATATACATACACACCACGTTCCAAATTATTATGCAAATTCTATTTAAGTGTCACAAAAGATGAAATATGTTGTTTTTCAGTTTAACTCATGGATGGCATTGTGTGTCAGGGCTCTTTTGATCACTGAAAACAATCTCGGACACCTGTGATAATTAGATTAACCGGTGAGACCAATTTAAGAAAAAAACTACTAAAGGAGGGTGTTCCACATTATTAAGCAGAGCGCCATTTTCAAGCAATATGGGGAAGAAAAAGGATGTCTCTGCTGCCGAAAAGAGTGAAATAGTTCAATGCCTTGGACGAGGTATGAAAACATTAGATATTTCACGAAAACTTAAGCGTGATCATCGCACTATTAAGAGATTTGTGGCTGATTCAGAGCACAGATGGGTTCGTGCAGATAAAGGCATATTGAGGAAAATTTCTGCCAGATCCATGCATCGGATCAAGAGAGCAGCTGCTACAATACCATTACATAGCAGCAAACAGATATTTGAAGCTGCTGGTGCCTCTGGAGTCCCACGGACATCAAGGTGTAGAGTCCTCCAGAGTCTTGCAACTGTGCATAAACCTTCTATCCGGCCACCACTAACCAATGCTCACAAGCAGAAATGGCTGCATTGGGCAGAAAAATACATGAAGACTAATTTTCAAACAGTCCTGTTCACTGATGAGTGCCGTGCAACCCTGGATGGTCCAGATAGATAGAGTAGTGGATGGTTGGTGGACGGCCACCCTGTTCCAACAAGGTTGCGACGTCAGCAAGGCGGTGGTGGAGTCATGTTTTGGGCCAGAGTCATGGGAACAGAGCTGGTCAGCCCCTTTAGGGTCCCCGAAGGTGTAAAGATGACCTCTGCAAAGTATGTGGAGTTTATGACTGACCACTTTCTTCCCTGGTACAGAAGGAAGAACTATGCTTTCCGTAATAAAATCATCTTCATGCATGACAATGCACCATCTCATGCTGCAAAGAATACCTCTGCATCAATGGCTGTTATGGGGATAAAAGTAGAGAAAGTCATGGTGTGGCCTCCATCCTCCCCTGACCTCAATCCTATTGAGAACCTTTGGAGCATCCTCAAGCAAAAGATCTATGAGGGTGGGAGGCAGTTTACATCCAAACAGCAGCTCTGGGACGCTATTCTGACATCTTGCAAACAAATTCAAGCAGAAACTGTCCAAAAAACTCACAAGTTCAATGGATGCAAGACTTGTGAAGCTGCTATCAAATTAGGGGTCCTATGTAAAATGTAACGTGACCTGTTAAAATGTTTAAAAAGTTAAAATGTTGTTAAAGGTTTGATTGAAATAGCTTTTGATTTCAGTAAATATGCTGCAAACACAACAAATGACAATTTTCAGTTCTTTACAACCTATAAAGTGTTTTGAAACTTACTGTGCGTAATAATTTGGAACAGTGCATTGGAAGTTTTTTATGTTTAAAAAAAATCCTGTTATCATTAGGAGGTTTGTTCAATAAAATGTGAATTGTACTCTTAATAGTTGATAACATGAGAATTATGCTGACTGTTATTTACATCAATTATTTAGGTAAATGAGAAAAATATCATTTGCATAATTTGGAACACGGTGTGTATGTATATATGTGTATATATATATGTGTGTATGTGTGTATGTATGTGTGTATGTATGTATATATATATATATATGTGTGTGTATATGTATATATATATATATATATATAATCTTGCAGGACAGATGAGGTTTTCATATTTGTGTCATTTGCAACACCATTGTAGGTCAGAAAAAAGAGTGCAAACATGTAACTCTCTTCATCTGTCCTGCAAACCTACATTTGTGCAGCAAATGCCACAATTTTTCCATGGAAATTTCACTTTACATTGATGCTTTTTCATCTGTACCTGGTCTTCAGCTTTGAGGCAGGCTTTGAAAAACTGCTTTGATGAAGATGTTAAAAATATGGTATACCACGCAATATTTGCTCTCTATCAGGTTTAGGAACATCTATTACTTAGAAAAACTTATCTTACTGTATACTACAAATTATTTACTGGTTATCCTCCTGTGATAGGAAGAAGAGGTGGTTGTGCCAAAGGAAAAGGTGGCTCAATGCACATGTATGCCAAGAACTTCTATGGAGGGAATGGCATTGTGGGAGCTCAGGTATGTGGCCTTTTATCGTTATGTCTGCCCATTAGTAATTTACTAGCATTACCTCCCATTTAGTCAGCACTAGTTGATTGTACCTCAGGATTGGCCAAAGGAACAAAGCAGTGGGACATGGATCCCCATACACCTGTTTTTTTTATATTTTTTGGTATGAGTCAACTGATCTGGTTAAACTGTGTTTACTTTCAGGTCCCTCTTGGGGCAGGGATAGCATTGGCCTGTAAATATTTTGGAAAGGATGAAATCTGTTTGTCCTTATATGGTGATGGAGCTGCTAATCAGGTAAGAATAGTGAATGAAGTGATGTGGGTATTAGAAAATACAAAAACATACTCTGTTAAGGCCAGTTCAAACCAGAACACCATGTGGGAAACCCGCGTTCTGTGTGCATCTCCCACACTGTGTTCAAAATGCACTGCACGTTCGATCTACAGTGTGGATGTCAGTGCAATGTTAACGACTCCCCAAACGCAGGTCACAAACGCAGTGCATTTGTCTGCACCAGATTGCATCATACTGGAGTTCTATGCAATGCAGTGTCTCTGCGCTTTGTAAATCAGTGCGTGTACTACTTTTGCTGCAGTCCAGCATGATTTCAGCCCATTCAAATTAGTGGGCTGAAATCACATTGCACTCAGATCACAATTGAATCTCACAAGAACGTACAGTGTGTTCGTATGCGATTCATGATGTGAACCAACCCTTAAAGTGTTACTAAACCCACAACCGTAGAATCAGTCTGTATATGCAGTAAAGCATGTTTGTTATACTCACTGTGGAACCTAAGGGGTTAATCCACTGCATTGTGTAAAAAGGCTGTTTAATCCTGTCTTCTCTGATCTTCCTCTTCTACTGTCCCCAATCCATCTGCTGATAGTACAGTGGTCTAGGTGTCACTGTGCACATGCTCATTTTAGTGTGTATTGCTAGAGATTATTTTTTTCTTTGGGAGGGTGTATGTGATCAGCACAGGCCCAATCGGCACTGTCCAGACAGAGGGTTGGGTTATGCAGCCTCAGGGGACAGTCAGAGCAGAATGTAAACTTCTTACCAGTGCTCAACTGGACACTGATAGATGTCACAAGACTGCTATATACTACTGATGAGAAAAGGTATTTAGCAGTTTATATTTACTGAAAGAATTGGATTTCCATGCTCTTTGTACTGTGGGAGACCAGATATAGTGAATGCAGGGTCATAGGTTTAGTAATATTTTAAGGCAATATATGCATTTTATTGACATTTTGTTACATGAAAAATGCTATTAGCATTTATCGTAATCGGGTATATATGAAAAAGTACATGTAATATTCTGTATCAGGCCTCAAAATTTCCACTCACCTGCTCGCATTTGACGAGTAGAAATAACGTGGGGGTGGGGGTATTTTTTAACTTTTTTTTTTGTTATTTTTTTTTAACTTTATTTTTTAACTGTAAACAAACAGATGTTAGGGTGTCTCAAAATGTGATAGCCACTTCCTGACTACCTAACATCTTTCAAATACCCTGTGCAAATATGTGCCCTGAACTGTGCTGTACCCTATACACTCAATTAGTAAGTTATATAATTTTGTAGACCCATACGGCGCTATTCTAATACTCCACTAGTGTGTTTAAGTGGTAGCGACAGAAGCAGTCCTTGAGGCAGAGACCAGGTTGGCCAGGACAAGAGGGACAAAAAAAGTGTGTGTCACAGTTAATTCCATGTCTGCTACAGACATGACATCTTTTTTGGGGTGTCCTTTGGGTTGGGGTACCAGGAATGGCATCAGGAAAATGCCTCTCATGCAGCCAGCTAACTGCATCTGGGTTGCGGGTTTGGGCCATAGCACCTTCCGGATGAAAAAAAAGGGCTGTGATCTATTCCTAGAATTTTAGGAAGGATCCACTATGTCCAGTTGCTTTGTAAAGCACAAAAGCGTTCTATAGAGCCAATCAAAATAAATAGATAGTTTTTTTGTACCAGCATCTGCCTTTTCGGGAAACTAAGTACGGCTTCATCATCTGGTAGGTTATAGCCATGAACACAGAGGGGCTTCTCAACACCAGCTCCTGTGGCAATTTGGATGGTTGTGTCTGCGGGAATAGAAGACAGGACGAAAACATCCCGTTTGTCCTTCCACTTCACTGCGAGCAATTTCTCAAGCAGGCTTTTTCCCCCTTTCTAAGATGAGTATTTATAAGCTGTTGAGGGGAAATCCCGGCTATTGGGTCACACGGTGCCATATGCGCCAATTCCAAAATTGTACAAATGTCTAAATAGTGGCACGCTTGAATAAAAAACATTTCCACGTTTAAGTGGTACCCCATATGGAAAAAGGATGACACCAAGTCCCAAACTATCTTGCCACTGCTCCCCATGTAGTCTGGGCATCCGGGGGGGCTCCACGTGACTATCTTTTCCCTCGTAAATCTGAAACTTATATGTATAGCCTGTTGCAGTCTCACAGGTCTTCTACATCTTGACCCCATATCTGGCACGCTTGCTGGGGAGTAATTGTTTGAATGCAAGTCGGCCAGAAAAATGAATGAGGGACTCATCAACACAGATGTTTTTCTGGGGAGTATAGACATCTGCAAATTTTTGGTTAAGGTGGTTTACGAGGGGCCAAATTTTGTGGATCCGGTCAAATTCAGGGTTACCCTGAGGATGGCAGACTGAATTGTCATTGATATGCATAAATCGCATTATATTCTCATATCTATGCCTGGCCATGGTAGCAAACAACACGGGCATATCGTGAATCAGGTCTGTGGACCAATACAACCACAATTCGTTTTTTTTTAGTAATGCCTATGTTGAGGGTTAGGCCCAAAAAAACTTTAAATTCAGAAACTGTAATAGGTTTCCATACAAATGATCTGGCAAGGTTTGATTTTTGTGTTGGCAGCGATAAACTGTTGTGCATATAAATTGCTTTGATCTACAATCAATGCATACAGATCTTCCGTAAAAAACAGCTCCAAAAAATTAAAAAAAATTTGCGGTTTCCACCTGAATTCCGGGTTGGGCAGTGAATGGGGGAAGTACGGGTGCTGCAGAATTTGTGGGCTGCCAATCAGGATTTGCAAGCACATCTGGAAGGGCACTAGGGTCTCTACGGGCCTGTGTGCGAATTCTTGGTGGCTGCGGGACACTACTTGTACTAGTCACCTCACCAGCTGTCCTGCACTTATAGGACTCGCCACGTCACCAAGTGATACTGCAGTGCTGGTATTTGAAACACCAGGATGTACTAGGCCACTGGTGCTCACCAGTTCACCAAAAGGTAGAGCGGCACTAGTACTGGCACTTTTCTGCGTATGAGAATCATCATGTGATTGTAACATCTCAGCAACCTGGGAACTGGATTGGGTATGCTTGACCTTAGCAGGGACCTCTTCTCCATCGTCTGAGCTATCTGTAAGGGTGCCGCTGCTATCTATAGATTTGTATTCTGAGCCTGATTCTGTCAGTGATTTTTTTTTCCCTTCGCTCTCACCTGACATGCTCAGAATCCTGTAGACCTCTTCACTAGTGTACCTTTGCTTGGACATTTTGGCCACTATATTTATAGGTACCTAGTGCGACTCACGGGAAAAAGAGCACCTGGCTGTCAGGGACTGCTTGAAACGCTACAGAAAAATTTGCCTTCAATTGGTAACAGAGATCAGGCTTGATTCTGCGAACACTGCGGTTTTTGTGTGCATTATATAAAGTGACAGTGATCTACTGACACTGCGCTTGCTGGGGGAGAAGGGGGGGGTAAGCGTAGGGGCTAAACGCAGTTGCTGGTAGGTGCCAAGGCTGATCTCGCTAATGCTGCGTTTTTAGGGAAACTATATTAATGTGAATGCTGGTATAGTGCTGATCTGATCAGATATCGATCCATTCAGACACTATACTAGCAATGGAGGTTTATTGCGTATGTGAGCGTGTTCCTGGCAATCAAGAGGTTAAATGTGGTGACTGATGTAGTGATAGGCAATCTGACCCTATCTGGGAGGGACGCTAACTGACGCTATTTGAACTTGCCAGCGACACTAATACAGTGATCAGAGAAAAAGCTGTACACTGTACTGATGACACTGGTGACAGGGCAGTGAAGGAAGGTGCCCAGAGAGAGAAGATTTCCTCTTTTCCTGTACCTGTGTAAATGTAAACACAGGTACAGGAAGTTCTCTGATAGGGCAGGGATCTATCATCCGATTTAGGCTGAACATTACTGGCCTAAATCTGATGACTGATCCCTTCAGCACTGAATCATGACATCTGCAGGTCGGCTGACTAGCGCGCCGCCGGTCACCACAGGAACTCGAATCATGTTTATATATGTGATTTTGTACATCCATTCTGCCCTGTAGCAGTATTTTTGACCACTTGTTTTTTTTTTTTTGCGTTTTTTTTTTTTTTTTTTTTAATACTTACATTTTTTTTTCTATAACATCTGCTTTTAAGCCTCTAATCAATATTTTATTTCCTTTAAAGCAGAGCTAAAAGTCCTGAGCTACTAGCCAGACCTTAAGAGTTACTTCCCACCAATTGCCCCACCCAGCCTCTACCCTGCCCTGTCCCTAATTCTGCCTCTAAACACACCCTTGTAAATTGTCTCATTAAATGACACTGTTAAATGTGTTATGCAGATACAGTTACAAAACTAAAAAATAAATAAACACCCATCAGGTGTCTTTTACATCAGGTGTCTCAAACTTTACAAAAATCCTCCTTTAGACAAGGTGACCCCCATCTGAAACACCCATCAGGTGTCCCCCTTTACATCAGGTGTCCCATCTGAATCCCCCTTTACATCAGGTGTCCCCATCAGAATCCCCCTTTCATCAGGTGAATCCCCCTTTACACAAGGTGTCCCCATCTGAATCCCCCTTTACATCAGGTGAATCCCCCTTTACATCAGGTGTCCCCATCAGATTCCCCCTTTACATCAGTGTCCCCATCAGTCCCCCCCATCAGAATCCCCCTTTACATCAGGTGTCCCCATCAGAATCCCCCTTTACATCAGGTGTCCCCATCAGAATCCCCCTTTACATCAGGTGTCCCCATCAGAATCCCCCTTTACATCAGGTGTCCCCATCAGAATCCCCCTTTACATTAACTTCCCCCTTTACACAGGTGTCTTCATCAGATTCCCCTTTACACAGGTGTCTTCATCAGATTCCCCTTTACACAGGTGTCTTCATCAGATTCCCCTTTACACAGGTGTCTTCATCAGATTCCCCTTTACACAGGTGTCTTCATCAGATTCCCCTTTACACAGGTGTCTTCATCAGATTCCCCTTTACACAGGTGTCTTCATCAGATTCCCCTTTACACAGGTGTCTTCATCAGATTCCCCTTTACACAGGTGTCTTCATCAGATTCCCCTTTACACAGGTGTCTTCATCAGATTCCCCTTTACACAGGTGTCTTCATCAGATTCCCCTTTACACAGGTGTCTTCATCAGATTCCCCTTTACACAGGTGTCTTCATCAGATTCCCCTTTACACAGGTGTCTTCATCAGATTCCCCTTTACACAGGTGTCTTCATCAGATTCCCCTTTACACAGGTCTTCATCAGATTCCCCTTTACACAGGTGTCTTCATCAGATTCCCCTTTACACAGGTGTCTTCATCAGATTCCCCTTTACACAGGTGTCTTCATCAGATTCCCCTTTACACAGGTGTCTTCATCAGATTCCCCTTTACACAGGTGTCTTCATCAGATTCCCCTTTACACAGGTGTCTTCATCAGATTCCCCTTTACACAGGTGTCTTCATCATCCCCAGATTCCCCTTTACACAGGTGTCTTCATCAGATTCCCCTTTACACAGGTGTCTTCATCAGATTCCCCTTTACACAGGTGTCCCCATCAGATTCCCACTTTACATCAGGTGTCCCCTTCAGAATCCCCTTTACATCAGATGTCCCCATCAGAGTCCCGTTCTCTGGTGCCGCCATCTGCCCCAGTGTGCTGTGGTAAGCCCGCCGCAGTTTTCCTATCTCATGCCCCAGTTCCCTATCCCATGCCACAAAAATAGGATGCCTATACTGTGCTAATCCGTGCCACCCACAAATATTAGGCAAAAAGTGAGTAGTGCACCCAAAGCAACCAACAGGAGGGAGGAAGGAAGGAGAAAGATGAGGGAGAGAGAAGGCAAAACATTGTAGGTGAGCAGGGGGAGGAAAAGGCACTAGAGGAATGTTGGCAGAACAAGGCAAGGATTTTTCTCAGGGAAAAGTGCATTTTACCGCCACTCCTATCTGGCTCCATCTCTGGACACACTCGCCCCCACATTATTTCCACTCGCAAAATGCAAGCCGGCAAGTGGAAATTTTGAGCCCTGCCTTAAAGGAATGGTGTACTTTAAGAAACACAGAGACTGCAATGGCTGAGTTATCCTAGATATTTGGCTGTCATGCTAAATCTTTGTTGTCAAAACTTTGAGTCTCTGACCTGGCACAGTTTTATGCAAATAAGGACTTCAGACTTATTTCTAATTTCATCTGCATGTGTGTTCTGTCTGTGACTGAAAATATCAAAGCCAAAAGGGTCATCATAGCGACCATAACATGGCAGCCCCTGTATATTCCTGTCATTGGGTAATGGGCTGCCCAACACAAAAAAGAGTCATTTGACGTTTGGAGGGGGACTTTTACAGAAAACATATATCTCTGGATATACTAATTGTTTTGACATGGCAGTTTCCACTGATGTTTACCTCCACTTATGTATTTTATATTTAAATTGAGACTGATTAGATTTTAAGGTTTGGACTAAGTTTTGTCACGAATGTTCTGCCTTCTTGCTTTGATTGTCAGTGTACATTCTCTTAACACTTTTTTAATTAACATGTATTGTTAATAGAGATGCATTTGTTTTTTCTGTTTTACAGGGTCAGATTTTTGAGACCTACAACATGGCAGCTCTTTGGAAATTGCCATGTATCTTCATATGTGAAAACAATAGATATGGAATGGGTACCTCTGTAGAAAGGGCTGCAGCCAGCACAGACTACTACAAGCGTGGAGACTATATCCCTGGCCTCAGGGTGAGCATCACTTTATTGGGTGTCATAGGATCCTATTTTAAGCTTGTGAACCATTCTCCTGTTGTTTTCTAGTTTGTTGTTTTTCTGTAACTGGTTCGGACTTAATACCAAGAGTTACCAGTTTGCCTGCCTTCTCACCACACTGGTGTTCAGTTTGAACTTTTTCTTCTGTTGTCACTAACCGTAGAGGTCTCCTGACTGCTAATCTTTAAGGATTGGCTCTTGAACGAAACATGTTTTTGCCTTCCACTTTTCTATAATGAGATTAGTCATCACAGAATAAATTGGTATTGCATGCTTTCAAATGATTTTTCTTTACACAGCCTTTGTAGTATTTGTTGAATTATTAGCTTAGTACCAGTTTAAAGTATAACTAAAGGCAGAACTTCTTCCTTTAGTTTTGGGCAGAGTGGAGATGGATTAGAACTCCTATTAGGTTCTTATTGCTGTCTCCCCATTAGAGAGATTCACTTGATTTTGTTCTGTTTACCATAATCCTTCAAAGTGAAAGTAAAAGAAAATCCCAAATTTTGGGTTGTCTCCAGAAAAGTAAGAGGGGAAATCTTCCAATGAGGACACTAGTTCTGGTAACCCGGGGGACCCAAGGGATTCCCTTAATTTGCAGGGACTGTTTTGGCTATGGGACAGGAAGTTAAGGTAAATCTTACAGATGGCAAAAAAGACGGGATATAACCCCCCCTTACTATATCCAAAATGAAAAAAAAGGTTTTGCTTATAGTTCTGCTTTAAAAATCCTTGGCTTAGAACTTGTAAGAAATACTAACTGTCATATTTTGGCAGATTGATGGTATGGACGTGCTTTGTGTCAGAGAAGCTACTAAGTTTGCTGCAGATCATTGCAGATCTGGAAAGGTATGTGTCTGTATATCTTTTTCGTTATGAATAAATGTGTCGATATTTCATCTATCTGTATTATAAAAGCATATTGAAAATGTGTGTTGTTATACATTGGGTATGGAAATGTAAATATTTGTAATTGTAATGATTGAAATTCTTTTGTTTTTGCTTTTTTCTTTGCAGGGACCTATTCTGATGGAGCTTCAGACCTATCGTTACCATGGACATAGTATGAGTGACCCTGGAATTAGGTAAATGCATGTACTGTGGCAATAGGAGTGGCAAGGTTATTGCTGGAACCATTGTTGCAGCATTCAGTAAGAGCTTAGTGGCTGTGCCGAGGCACATAATGCTCTCGGTGAGATGTGGTACTGTGCTATTGTACATATTCAACCCACCACTGCCCTCTGCTGTGTAGCTCAGCCTTTCTCAACCCTTTTTTGACACAGAGGAAAGCTTGGTATAACTTTCAGGTCTCAGAGAATTCCTGCCAGTAATTTTACTATTCACAGCTCATGGTACACAAGCATGGTGGTCAGCGAGAAGAATCCCTCCTTAGATCATTGGAGCTGGTGGTCACTTATCTGATAAAGAAATTACCCATTCCTCAAGGAACCCCTAACAAACTCTGGAAGAAAGCTAGAATTGCACAGATTCCTGGTTGAGGAAGGCTGGTCTAGGCAGTGCTGTGAAGGTACAGTATAGTGTCATTTCAGTCAGCTTATATTGTACAAGTGACTGAAAGTTGTTGATGCGATTTTGCCAGCTTGTGTTTTTGCATATACCTATTTACATTTGGTTTTGTTTGATGTGTGTGTGTGTATATATAGAGAGAGAGAGAGAGAGAGAGAGAGAGAGAGAGATAATAATTATTATATGCTCCTGTCTGTCTGAGAACCAAGCTGTGTATTTGGCGTCTACTGGAGCGGATTGATCAATAGAGATCAGACAAGTTTTTCAAATACATCCGATCCCTTTTTACCCGAGATCGTTTGTTTGGCATGTACAGCCTGCCTACAATCAACAAGCACACATGTCAGTTATGTCTGTGGGCTACATCATAGACTAAGCATGTTGATTTGCTAGCATGACTAAAAGCAATTGACTCTGTGGCCTTAAAGTGGTATTTCAAGTAAAACAATGTTTTCCTTTGAATTGAGTTTAAAGTATTAGAATCTCTGTCTTGTATTTATTGCCTTCTTTCTCTTCAGTAGGTAGATTTTTATCTCACTGGCAGTGGCTACGTAGACTGGTAGTGAGGGGAAACATCTACAGTACAATGGGGATGCAGGCAGCTATGAAATCCTTGTCTCTATTCCCATCACACACATTCCTGGAAACAGGGCTCATCAGTGGCAGGTGTTACATGCCTGACGAAGGGGTCTCTGTGGCTCCGAAACGTTGCACTTGTTCTTTTTTGATGTGATCTTTCTGCAATAAAAGCCTTTGGATTTCATTTGGAAATCCTTGGTTTGCTGGTGATTGTGTATTTGGCTATGAAATCCTCACCGTTTTTGACCCTTTTTTTATTATAAATAGGGGTTCATACATCCTGGCACCAAGGTGTGGCAAGAATGTATGTTGAGCTGTGCACATGCAGCTCCATGTGCATTTTAAAGAAAGTCGCAGACAGGCGGGTGCGTTTTTGTTTTATTGCATACTAGGTTCAATAAAGAGCCTGCCTGCTCACAGTGTTTTCAACTTCGTTCTCCTTTACTTCATTAAAAATTGGTAAAGGAGTTATTGTAAGCCAGGACAAATAATGAATGATCAATACTTGTCCATGGTTTAACTTGTGACTGGTAACATGTCTGTGTATTTCAAAAGTGAGTGATCTGGTTCTGGCTGGAGAGCTTCAGCTGTAAAAACTGAACAAAGCAGTAACCCTCTACCTGCATGGCAAGCCTGTTTTTCTATGAAGGTCATCACTTCCAGGACTCCTTGTTCTTCTTTACACTGAAGATAGTACTTAATGACATTGGCTGCATGTTTGGGGCTGTCGTCCTGCCGTAGAATAAATTTGTATTTCTCCGCATTAAGGGCACCAGTGATCCCAACCAAATCTCTAACTCCAGTTGCAGAATTACAGCCCCAAACTTGTCAGGAAGCTCCATCATGCTTTACTGTTGCCTTTAGACACTCATTATGCCGTGCTCCAGCTCTTGGCAAACAAACTGTCTTCTGCTACAGCCAAATATTTAAAAATTTGACTCACTGGACCTCATTGCGCCTACGTTTTTCTTTCTGCACCCCAGTTTCTTATGTTTTTGTGCATAGTTGAGTCATTTAGCCTTGTTTCCATGTGCTATGCACAGAAACATAGGAACTCAGTTACTCTAAATGTGCAATTTATGCTTGAAAGTCCCAATTCTTAAATTTTTAACTCCGCAGTCCAGAGCAGCTGCTGCCATTTTTCTGCACTTCAGTTCCTATGTTTCCATGTCCTATGCACAAAAACATGGGAACTGAGGTGCAGAAAAATGGCAGCAGGTGCTCTGGACTGATGAGTTAAAATTTTAAATATTGGGACTTTTTCGAGCATAAATTGCACATGATGTATTGTAGATTTAAAGGGACATTACAGTGTTGTGAAAAAGTATTTGCACCTTTCTTGATTTTTTTTTTTTTGTCACAATTAAATGATTCATATCATCAAACAAATGTTGATGTTACACAAGGATAACCCAAGTAAATACAGAATGCAGTTTTTAAATGATGATTTAATTTATTAAGGGAAAAAAACCTGCCTGGCCCTATGTGGAAAAGTAATTGCCCCTAAGCCTAATAACTAGTTGTGCCACCCATGGCGGCAACAACTGCAATTCATGATTTCATCATTTATAGCAAGTCATCCAGGTCCTGAAGCTGCAAAAGAGCCCCAGACCATCACTCTACCACCACCACCACGTTTGACTGTTGGTATGATCTTTTTATGAAATGCTTTCTTAGTTTTATGCCAGATGTAACCGCACACCTTCCAAAAAGTTCAGCTTTTGTCTCATCGGTCCACAGAATATTTGCCCAAAAGTCAAGGGTGGCACAACTAGTTATTGGGTTTAGGGGCAATTACTTTTTCACATATGGCTAGGCTGGATTGGACAGCTTTTTTCCCTTAATAAATGAAATCATCATTTCATATCTGCATTTAGTATTTACTCGGGTTATTAAAATTCGTGGATGTGTGATATGAATTTGATGTGAATATATAATATATGTAAAGTGATGCGAAAATTGACAGCGCTATGTAAGTACCTGTAATAACTGCATGAAGACACAAATAATAACATTTGTTTGATCTTTTAAGTGTAACAAATATGCAAAAATTATATCCAGAAGGGGACAAATACTTTTTCACAGCACTGTACCTATGTTTGTGAACACTGAGGATAGCGCTTTACATGTATGATTTTAGATTATCTGAATGTGGATATTTTATGTTGGCAGCTTTATGTTTACATTTTATTTAATGCTGAGATGTGATTTTTCTCCTTCACTGATGTGCGCTAATGATGCTATACTGATGGACACTGATAAGCTGCACTGATGGACACTGATAAGCTGCACTGATGGACACTGATAGGTGGCACTGATGAGGCACTGGTAGGTGGCACTGATGGGCATTGACAGGCATCACTGATGGGCGCTGAAAGGCAGCACTGATACATGGCACTGTTAGGCGGCGCTGACTGGCACTGTTAGGCGGCGCTGACTGGCACTGTTAGGCGGCGCTGACTGGCACTGTTAGGCGGCGCTGACTGGCACTGTTAGGCGGCGCTGACTGGCACTGTTAGGCGGCGCTGACTGGCACTGTTAGGCGGCGCTGACTGGCACTGATGGGCGACACTGAAAGGCAGCTCAGATGGGCACTGATATGTGGCATTGATGTGCACTGGTAGGCACTAATATGTAGCACTGATGTGCACTGGCACGAGGCACTGATGAGCACTGACATAAGGCACTGATGGACACTGACAGGTGGCACTGCTGGGGCTACACTGATCATCAGGGCACACTGATCGTCAGTGCCCTGATAATCAGTGTACATGTCCGCTCCGCGGAAAGCCGATTACCGACTCTCCTATCCTCTCGAGCTGTCAGCGTGACAGCTCGAGAGGAGAGAAATGCCGATAACCGGAATTTCCGTGTTTACATGTGATCAGCTGTGATTGGAGACAGCTGATCACATGACCGAGCCGACATCTTCGGCTGTTTCCGTGATCGGTGATCCGCTGTGTCCAAGGGACACAGCGCATCGCTGATCACCACGCTGCACGCTCCCTGAGCCGCACATGCGAAGTGAGAATGGGAGGACGTCATATGAAGTCCTCCCAGAATGAGAGAACCACCTTGCGCCCCGTCATATTACTATATGGCGCGCGGGAGGTGGTTAATATGGGTTTGAATTTTTCCAAATTCTAACCGTTATGCTGGTCATTCACAGTTTGAATTTTGGGAAATTCCTGCTTAATGGGTTGAACTTTGGGATAAGCAGACATTTAGATTTACTAAAACTGGAGCACTTACAATCTGGTGCAGCTGTACATGGTAGCCAATCAGCTTCTAACTTCAGCTTGTTCAGTTAAGCTTTGACAATAAGGCTCCACGTACACGGGACGTTTGGAAAACACTTCTGAACGATGGAAACTGACTGCTGGAAAACGTAGGTTAAAAAACGTCTGTTAGCTACGTTTGCATACCACGTTTATGCGCGTTTGCATTTAGAAGCGTTTTTTTTAAGATAACCTCAGGAGACCTTCCAAAATGCCCAGAATGCACTGAAAAACAGTAAAAAATTAACTATTTCAGACATTTTGAGAGAAATAGAGGGAGCAGAAGCAGAGAGAGCAGTATGTGTTGAGATGACCTGTCTTTTCTGGTTATCTTCACTATGGATCCCATCATGAGCATAATGCAGCACGTTCTACCATTTTTTGGTGTACAGAGTCCATTTGAATACATGGAAAACACTTTGCATGCATTTCTGATGATGAAAAAAAGGCTTTGGACAGCATTTGGGTATGGAACAGTTAAAAAAACGCTTATAAACGCAAACACTTATAAACGCGGTTAAATGCGTTTACACACGTTTACAAGCATTTGGCATTTGAAACGCTGATAAAATCTACTCCTAAACGCAAGTTTGGTGCATTCAAAAAAACAACTGTAAACTCAACTGCCTGTAAACGACTGTAAACAACATAGTGTACATGGACACATAGGAAAACATTAGGGAGAGTTCAGGGGCTGCTGAAAAAAATGCAGAGAAGTTCCTAAACGTGAGTTTATCAGCTGCAGTGTAAATGAACCCTAAAACCTGGAAGCTGATTGGTTACTATGCAGAGCTGCGCCAGATTTTGCACTCTCCAGTTTTAGTAAATAGCCCCATTGTCCACAGGAGCCATGCAATTTTTATTTGAATCTTGGTGTGCAAAGGCATTTGGTGCACTCAAAGTAGATTTACATCTTGTATGGCTAGGAATATATTTAAATGAGTTTTTGGTACTTGGAGTTCAGCTTTAGTCCTCATGCACACTGGATGTTTTTACAGCGGCTGTTTTTGGCATTTGACATTTTTTTTTCTACAGCTAGTAAACCCCCCAGCATGTTATCCTATGTGTCCATGTACACATAGACTGTAATCAACGTTTTGTTTTGGCTGAAAAAAAACCCAGGACTAGTGGGTTTCTAGAGAAGGTTTTTAGCTGTAAAAATGCTCTAATGCTGAAAAACGTGGCAAAAACGCGGTAAACTGGCGTTTTTGGACTTTTTTGACCAAAAAAAATATTTTTTTGTTAAAAAAAAATGCAAATGTGGCAAAACTTCGCTAAATGCTAATGCAAAAATGCTTAAAAAAAACTGAAAAACACACATTTTCAATGTGACTTTACACCGTTAGCGCTACCAGCGTTCTGAAAACGTCCAGTGTTCATGAGGACTTAAATTTTGTACTTACTGGGCAAAATTCTGACAGATATGGAATGAAGCCATTAAATTTGGAGGACAACACTAAACTAGAAAAGCTACCATTTCTGGGGAAGTTGTGTGAAGTGTTCTTGCCTGCACCAGTAGTTTACAACTGGAGTGGGCGGCTCCCACTCTAGTTTTGAACATTCCGCCATTCATTCTTATGGGACCAATTTCACCACAAAAACGATATTTCGTGAACCATTCAACGAAACGTTCCACAAAGTAATAGCACACCAATCGGGAACAATCCGCACGTTTCGGTATATTACCGTCTATGTAGTGTAAAAACTGTGGGAGGAGTTAGAGTGGTAAATTTGGCTATAATAATAATAAGAATATATATGTGAGATAACAGTAAGTGGTCTTGCCATGCAAGAACACTTAATTCCACCACCAGATGTCTGCTCACCCCCAGTAGTGCGACCTCACATATTACTAATTTTGGTCTAACTGCACTTTTGGGCCCACAGTGGACACTGAAGATCAACTTGATGGATTTCAGCTGTTAACGCTGCATTCAGAGTATACTTCTCACCACCAATTTACCTTATAAATAAAAAGACTTCACATAGTGTGTAAAACTTTAAAACATTTTATTGCCAAAAAATATATCCAAATGCACACTCACATGTAAAAGTTGCCTAAGTGCACAAAGTATAGAAAAGCTTTAACCCCTTTACGCCAGCCGCACACAAATGTGCGGCGTCCCGGTGTCTGGGCCTAGAGGCAGAGCGGCCGCACATTTGCGTTCAATATACAAAAATATATATGTGCAGAGAGCGCACGCCCTGCACGTTCCCAGCACACATGTCCGGTACTCACGGAAAGGTCCCGGTCTCTTTCGATCGGGACCTTTCCCGATCATGTGACCGCCGTGACTACGTGTCATTCAGGCTGGCCACTGCTCCTCGAGTATTTACAAAAGTTTTGTCTCCAGTATTGGGGCTGCTCAGAACTCTGGGTGTATCGATTGTGGGTTTTCTAGACTATTATTCAGAGGTCAGACTGCTCTAGGTTTGAAGAAAGATGTGACCCTTATGGTGCATATTCTGGAACATCTGGGCTGGGTGCTCAACTTCAGCCCTGGAGCCAGTACAAAGCCTGGAGTATTTGGGGTTGGTCCTAGACACAGTTCAGGCAAAGGTGCTGTGCCTTCAGAGAGCAGGTCTGCAGTTTAAGGGCAAGAAGGTATCCTTCGATTCATCTCTGCATGAGGTTGCTGGGGAAGATGGTGTCCTCATTCGAGACAGTTCCCTATGCGCAATTTTACTCCAGACCATTACAATGCAACATTCTCTCCATTTAGAACAAGAAAGTTCCAGCTCTAGATTGCTGCATGCCTTTGTCCCCTGAGGTACATTATATAATCAAAGTTTGTGGACGCCTGATAATCTCACTTTCTACAGAAAATGGCAAAAATCATACAACACTCCCTCCTAATTATTGAATGCAGGTGTTTCCAATAAAAGTTCTTGTTAATGTTACAGCATACAAAGAAATATTAAACAACTGTGTGCTTCCAACCTTGTGATGACAGTTTTAGGACCTGATTGTGCCCAAAAGTCAAGTCCAAAATGATATGGTTTGATGAGCTTCGTGTGGAGGAACCTGAGTTGCCTTCACAGAGCCTTGATCTCCGCCCTATTGAAAATCTTTGGGATATACTCAAAGGCCTATTGCGTGCCAGACCTTCTCGTTCAACATCAGTACTAGATCTCATAAGTGCTCTTTTTACTAAATGGGCCAAATTCCCAGACTCGCTTTCCAGTGGAACCTATTATATCCCCAAAGTGTTGTTCAGTTGTGTATCGATGTTCATGGTTTTGGAATGGCCTGTTTAACAAACTTCACAAACTTTTGATCATATAGTGTACTGTGGAGCTTGAATTGGTGGTTGGTAGGTCAGAATTTGGAGAAAGGGAGATACTTTTGGCCGGTGGCATGGAAGTTAGTAACCACCGATGCCAGCCTCTTGGGTTTGGAAATTTTGTGTTTGGTAGGATCCTGTATTTTCTCCAATCAGGTCTGGAAAATAAGTTGGCAATTGGTACTATTAAAGGCCAGGTTTCAGCGTTGGCTATTTCATTCCAGAGAGTCTCCTGTCAGTCAGCTGGTATGTCCTTGGGACCTGAACTTGATCTTGGCAGTATTGCAGAAACCACCATGTAGACCTATAAGGGTCTTCCTGGGAATGACAGCACAAATCAGGAAGTTGAATACTCTGTGCTTCCAGATGGGCCTAGGAAAGGGCAAGCGGCATCCTAAGCAGCTATTTCGTATTGGATCTACCAGTTAATCATTCAAGCCTGTGGTTTGAAGCATAAAGTCCCACCCACCTTTCCGGATGAGAGCACACTCTACTAGGAGTGTGGGGCATTGCTCAGTTGCTCAGGTTTGCGAGGCCACTATATGGCCTTCAGTTCATACATTCACAAGGTCCTACCAGGTGGATGTCAGAGCCGTGGAGGATTCGGCCTTTGGCCGCAGCGTTTTATAAACGGCTAAGTTGTTCCTGGGGGATTGATGGAGGTGGCTATCATGGTGTCACTAACCCTTCAGAGTTTATTTGTATTGCTTTAGGACATCCCACATAGTCACGAATAGCCTACTCTGTGCCCTGTGATGTATGGTTAAAAAAAAAATATTTTTTTCCTACATACCTGTACAGTCTATTTCTTGGAGTGCATCATGTGACAAAGGGGTTCCTTCCCTTTTTCTGGAATTTCATTTCTTGCTAAAAAAAAATATGAAGTACTTCCTGTATAGGAGGGGTTTTAAAGGGGAGGACTTTCTCTCTGATTGGTTGACCAGCGTCCATTCACCTATAGGTGGCATATAACTGACATAGTCATGAATAACCTACTCTGTGTCCCGAGATGTACTCCAAGAAATGGATTTTACAGGTGAGTATGTAGAAAAAAAAATCCAATTTTTGATTTGTGGCAAGAAAGAGCTTTGTAGTTATTTTAGACTTTCTTACTCAGTAATGTGTTGTGATTTGGTAATACCTATGTATTGCACTTCTTCGCTCATAAAGTGTAATTTTTTTTTTTATGATAGGTCCTCTTATGATTTTTATGTTTAAACAAGTGCTTTATATTTGTTTCCAGTTACCGTACAAGAGAAGAAATTCAGGAGGTGAGGAGTAAGAGTGACCCAATAACTCTTCTAAAGGACAGGATGTTAAACAACAACTTATCCAGCGTAGAGGAATTGAAGGTATTTGGTTTCATCCTATGTTGCATAGATCCACATTACCAAAATCTTTTTGTGTGTGTGCTTTTTTTTTTTTTAATAATTATTTAGCAGATCTATTTTGTTTTTTCTTCTAATGTGCTATTTAACTTATTTGAATACATGTAATGTAAAAGTCCAGTTTTGTTGCAGAAAAAAAGTTGATTCTCTATGTACGTTTTAGAGTATTTAGATCACCTCATTGCAGATTCTTGCTTGCTGTAGTTCTGTGGATAGATCTGGGCCATCTAAAGACATTGTGAAGGAGGGATAAAGTGCAAGTACCCAGAAGTGTCTACACCTATCCGCAGCAGCCTTTAAACCTCCCTGTCACACTTAATACCAGGCCACTATGACAGGCAAGCACAGGTGCTTCCTTTTAGTACCGAAGCTTGCACGCCACCTATTACCTTAATGCCTTTTGCTGTTGGGGAGTGAGGTTGCCCATCTTGGTAATGGACCACTTGGAATGTGTGGGGCTGGGTTCACCAGCAACTTTCAAAGCTTTGCCTTTCAGAATGCCTGGAGATTTGGCTGTGACATAAGGCTTTGGGAAGCTGCTGCAGGTCTGTGCAGATTTTGGCCATGACCTGAGGGTTTGGGAGGCTGGAGGTTTTTTCTTTTTAAAATTCAGCAACGATTTTCAAACTTGAGTTTGCAAAGTATTTAGGAGTTTATAATGGATTTACAAACTCATCTGCAGTGCCTTTCTTCCACTACTTCTCTTTACTTCCTCCTTAAGCGTGAACTTTCAAGTTGGCCTGCTGTAAATTTACAGACTTGCATAACAAGCATTTAGTGGCTGGCTCTTGGGATCATGGCTGGCAGCCCCATCCAAAGTCTAGGAACCTTTAGAGCCATGTGGAATCCAGAACTTTTTTTTTTTTTTTGTTCTGAAAAAGTTTTATACACTTATCTATAACTGTACACAATACAGGAGAAAAAATGTAAAAAATGGCAGAAAACCATTACATCTTGTGTAAATCAAGTCGTAACAGATCCCCTTGCGCGTTCTCCCTCTACAAAGCCGCCTTCCTCACCTACACCACCTCCCTCCACGCCGCCAAGCAAGCCTATTTCATAACCCTTATCAACACCCTCTCCACCTGTCCTCGCTGGCTCTTCTCCACTTTCAAATCCCTGCTCTCCCCCCCCCCCCCACCTCCACTTAGCACCTCTCTCACCGCCCACGAGATTGCCAATCATTTCCAAAACAAAATTGACGCAATCCGTAAGGACATTGTCAACTCACAATCTACCTCTCCACCCAGCCCCCCGCCCTCCATCATCCCCTCAACCCTCCCCTCCTCCGACCTCATAGCCACACTACCCCCCACTATGCCCAACGCCCCACACACTATCACCTCCCCAATGCTTCACTCCTTCAGCCCAGCTACCCCTGAGGAGGTCTCTAAGGTCTTCACCGAAGCCCGCCTCACCACCTGCCCCCTGGACCCTATCCCCTCACAGCTCCTCCAGTCACTCCCCCCCATCATTCGCTCCCTCACCCACATCTTCAATCTCTCCCTCTCCACTGGCACTTTCCCCTCCCCTCTAAAGCATGCGCACATCACCCCCATACTCAAAAAAACCCTCCCTTGACCCTACTGACCTGAACAACCTTAGACCCATCTCCCTGCTACCATTCACTTCCAAGCTCCTTGAGCGCCTGGCCTACAATCGCCTAAGCGCCCACCTCACTGATAACCTCCTTGATCCTCTACAGTCTGGCTTCTGTCCCCTACACTCCACCGAAACTGCCCTACTTAAAATCACCAACGACCTGCTAACCGCCAAAGCTAATGGCCATTACTCTGTCCTCCTGCTCCTTGACCTCTCCGCGGCCTTTTACACAGTCGACCACCCTCTCCTCCTTACTAAAACTGCACTCCCTTGGCATCAGGGACGCTGCTCTCTCCTGGTTCTCCTCCTACCTATCCAAACGCTCCTTCAGCATCACCTATAACACTGCCACCTCCCCCTCTCTCCCCTCTCTGTCGGAGTCCCCCAAGGCTCTGTCCTCGGGCCCCTTCTCTTCTCCATCTACACCTCCTCCCTTGGCAAACTAATACATTCCCACGGCTTCAATTACCACTTCTATGCCGACGACACACACAAATTTACCTCTCCATCCCCCATCTCACCCCCTCTCTCTCTCCGCCCGCATCACCCACCTCCTGAACGACATATCAGACTGGATGTCGCTCCATTTCCTCAAATTTAAACCTGTCCAAAACGGAGCTCCTGATTTTTTCCCCCCAGCCTGCGCCCCCCCCCCCCCCCCCCATCCTCTCCATCACTACTAACAACGCCACCATCACTCCCACCCCACATGCCAAAGTCCTGGGTGTCACCCTGGACTCTAACCTTTCCTTCCTACCTCACGTCCAATCACTATCAAGATCATGCAGGCTTCACCTTCGCAACATCTCCCTGATACGCACATTCCTCACCCCAGACACTACTATACAACTCGTAGACTCCCTCATCATCTCACGCCTGGACTACTGCAACTCCCTTCTCACTGGCCTACCAAACAAACGCTATCCCCACTCCAGTCTATCCTGAACTCAGCGGCTAGACTCATCCACCTCACCAACCGCTCCACATCTGCCTTCCCCCTCTGCCAATTCCTTCACTGGCTCCCGATTGCCCAGCGCATCAAATTCAAACTGCTAACTCTGACCTACAAAGCCATTCACAACACCGCCCCAAACTACCTAACCGACCTGATACCCAAATACTACCCTACCCGTGCCCTTCGCTCCTCATAGGACCTCCTACTCTCTAGCTCCGATTTCCTCCTCCCCACGCCCGATTGCAGGATTTCTCCAGGACTTCCCCCATCCTCTGGAACTCCCTACCCCAATCCATCAGGCTGTCGCCTACCCTCCTCACCTTCAGGCGCACCCTGAAAACCCACCTCTTCAGGGAAGCCTACCCCACCCTCACCTAACAACTGACCTCCTCCACTCCTCCCACCACTCCATCCCCCACAGCCATTTCCTCCTGTACCACTTTCCCCTCCCTAGATTGTAAGCTCGAACCCCTCGTGTATTGTATTGTTTCTGTCTTGTCTCATGTTCTGTCCCCCTCGCTATTGTACAGCGCTGAGCATACCCTTTGGCGCTATATAAATACTGTATAATAATAATAACAAAAAAATAACAAAACAAGCAATGGTATCAGAGTAGTACCAAAATACAGTATACCTGGGAGAAAAATAATTATGTTTCAATTCTAAATATTTTGTTGTGTCATACACCATCTCTTATTCAGCCGATCTAAAATAAAGTATATAACATCACAAAAAAGAGGGGGCAGTGAGAGTCCTGTATTATCCAAGTGTGAGTAGATTAGATTAGATTCAACTTTATTGTCATTGTGCAAAGTACATGTACAGAGCCAATGAAAGTCAGCATTCAGCCAGAAGTGCATAAATGGCCCATTTACAATAAATAACAATATAACAAAAATTGGGGTATAGGATATATAGTAATACCATAATCGGTGCAATGAGTAGTGCATTAATGGATGAAATATTCAGTAATGCAATGGTGAATAAAATATACAGTAATGCAATCTTGTCTAATGATTAGCTGTTCAATGCTTTAACAGACACAGGAAAAAAACTATTTTTCAGTCTATTTGTACAGGCTCTGAGAAACCTGTATCCTTTGCTCGATGGAAGGAGCATGAACAGTCCATAGTTAGGGTGAGAGGCATCATTAATGATGCCCCTCGCCCTTTGTACACAGCGTTTTTTTTTTTATAAATATCCTCCAAGGTGGAAAGCTGAACACCAATAATTTGTTGGGTGGTTTTCACCACCCTCTGAAGGGTTTTGTGGTCTGAAGCAGTGCAGCTGCTGTACCACAATAAGGTGCAGCTTGTGAGGATGCTCTCAATAGTACAATGATAAAAATTTTCCAATATCCTGTAGCACAGACAGGATTTTTTAAGTTTCCTCAGAAAATATAAGCACTGTTGTGCCTTATTGATCAGGAAGGAAGAATTCAGAGACCAGGTGAGATCCTCAGAAATCAGAGTAGGGATTGCAATGATAAGGAAACAAGTATGAAGTACGGGCATAAAAAAAATCAGGGAAGAGCAGTAGGAGGTGCAAGCCGGGGATCCTCCCTGGGGGATGTATATTAATCCCTCGGCACCGGCGCCTCGAGGCCTTTAAGGGTTCCAGAAGCTGGGAGGTGGGGTGGGGTTTTAGGGTCATGTGACTGCCGTGATTCGCTGTCACGGCGGTCACATGATCGGGAAAGGTCCTGATCGCAAAACAAGATCGGGACCTTTCCATGAGTACCAGACGTGAGATGGGAGCACGCAGTGCGTGCATTCTCAGCACATATGTTTTTCTTAATTACACGCAAATGTGTGGCCGTTTGGGGGTCAAGGCCCAGACACTGGGAGGCCGCATTTTTGCTTGCGGCCTGTGCCAAGAGCTTAATATGCACTATGGCGTCAATCCACTAAGCCAGAGTTGTCTTGATGGGGTGCTGGAATTCTGTAATGATTCATGATCGTGAAATACTGCCACGGTCTCTGTTGTGCGAAGCTTCTCCTCAGAGTTGTAGGGTGGAAGAGAGATCTTGCATGACAGGAATCTAGGTCATTTTGGTATACCATACAAATTTAGTAGGTGAGAAAAGTGTTTTCCATAACCTGGGGTACAGGCTTCTGCTGTGTTTTAATATATGGATCGCGAGGGACGCCTTGTACTTGGAAATACGTCTTTCTGTTAGATGTAGAAAGCATGCAGCCAGATTGTAGCTCAGGTACACCAGGTAAGCTATTTGATCTTAGCAGTCACATCAACCAGGAAGGTTTGACGTTTTTAACAAGACCAGAAAATGTGACATGGTTCCCAGGTTCACTATTGCAACACCGACCTACCTTTGGGATTAAATGATTCATATTGTGTAACATATAAGGTATTTTGTGCCACCTTAATACAATATTGTATCCCATCCCTTGGATTCCCTTGGCGATAGAAGATTTGTGAGCAAAGTACTGAATTTTCTACTTTTGCTGGATCGTCAATTGGATTCCCAGCTCGGAATCCCTCTTCAGAAGGAGAGGTGAATTCTGGGTCTGATTCAACAGCAGGTTATAGATTAAGAAAAATGTATGACTCATTGGTGTTCCAGACTGACAGAGAGGGTCCAAGGAAGTCAATTAATGCAAGATACCATGGGGGAGATCTATTAAAAGCTGGGGCACACAAAATCTGGTGCTGCTGTGCGTAGTAACCAATCTGCTTCTAGGTTTTATTGCTGAGGTTAGAAGCTGATTGGTTGCTATGCACAGCAGCACCAGATTCTCTGTGCCCCAGTTTTAGTAAATTATTATTATTATACATCATTTATATAGCTCCAACAGTTTGCTCAGCGCTGTACATTACAATGGGAGACAGAACATGCAACAGTACAATAACAATACAATGCGATACACGAGGGGTTCGAGGGCCCTGCTCCTTGGAGCTTACAATCTAGGAGGGAGGGGATAGTGGTACAGGAGGAAATAGCTGTGGGGGATGGAGTGGTAGGAAGAGTGGAGGAGGTCGGGAATTAGCGGGTGGGGTAGGCTTCCCTGAAGAGGTGGGTTTTCAGGGTGTGCCTAAAGGAGAGGAGAGTAGGTGATAGTCTGATGGATTGGGATAGGGAGTTCGAGAGTATGGGTGATGCCCTGGAGAAGTCCTGGAGGTGGACATGGGGGAGGAGGAGACTAGAGAACTAGAGAGAAGGAGGTCTTGTGAGGAGCGGAGAGTGCGTGTAGGGTGGTACTTGGATATTAGGTCGGTGATGTAGTTTGGGGCAGTATGATGGACAGCTTTGTATGTCAGTGTTAGGATTTTGAATTTGATCCGTTGGGCAATCGGAAGCCAGTGAAGGGATTGGCAGAGGGGGGTGGCGGAAACGGAGTGGTTGGTAAGGTGGATGAGTATGGCTGCCGTATTCAGGATCGACTGAAGCGGGGATAGCCTGTGGCGAGGCAGGCCAGTGAGGAGGGAGTTGCAGTAATCAAGTCGTGATATGATGAGGGAGTGGATGAGCTGCTTAGTGGTTTCTGGGGTTAGGAGAGGTTCAGTTTTAAGGACGTGGAGCGACATCCAGTCTATGTCGTTCAGTAGGCTTGTGATTCGGGCGGAGACTGAGGGGGGTGAGGCGAGGGGTCGAGAGATAGATTTGCGTGTCGTCGGCATAGAGGTGGTAGTTGAAGCCGTGAGAGTGTATCAGTTGGCCAAGGGAGGTGTAGATGGAGAAGAGAAGGGGCCCAAGGACAGAGTCTTGAGGGACCCCAACAGAGAGGGGGAGTGAGGGGGAGGTGGTAGCGTTATAGGTAACGCTGAAGGAGCGTTGTGATAGGTAGGACGAGAGCCAGGAGAGAGCGTAATCTCTGAGGCCAAGGGAGTGTAGTTTTCTGAGGAGGAGGAGGTGGTCGACTGTGTCGAAAGCCGCGGAGAGGTTGAGGAGTATGAGCACTGAATAGTGGCCATTAGCTTTGGTTAGCAGGTTGTTGGAGAGTTTGAGTAAGGCGGAAGAACAGAGTACCTTGAATAAAAAGTTGATTGGAGAGGGGAAAACATATAAAGAAGTGCAGAAAATGATAGGCTGCTCAGCTAAAATGCTCGCAAATGCTTTAAAATGGCAACCAAAACCTGAAAGACGTGGAAGAAAGTGAAAAACTACCATTCGAATGGATAGAAGAATAGCCAAAATGGCAAGGACTCAGCCAACAATCAGCTCCAGGAAGATCAAAGAAGGTCTAAAGTTACCTGTGAGTACTGTTACAATTAGAAGACGCCTATGTGAAGCCAAGCTATCTGCAAGAAGCCCCCGCAAAGTCCCACTGTTGAAAAAAAGACGTGCTGAAGAGGTTACAATTTACCAAAGAGCACATTGACTGGCCTAAAGAGAAATGGCGCAACATTTTGTGGACTGATGAAAGTAAGATTGTTCTTTTTGGGTCTAGTGGCCGGAGACAGTTTGTCAGACGACCCCCAAACACTGAATTCAAGCCACAGTACACTGTGAAGACAGTGAAACATGATTGCGCAAGCATCATGATATGGGGATGTTTATCGCATACCGGGGATCATGGATCAGTTTGAATACATCAGAATACTTGAAGAGGTCATTATGCCTTATGCTGAAGAGGAAATGCCCTTGAAATGGGTGTTCCAACAAGACAACGATCCCAAACATACCAGTAAACGTGCAACATCTTGGTTCCAGACCAACAAGATTGATATTTATGGAGTGGCCAGCCCAAGCCCCGGATCTTAGTCCAATAGAAAACTTGTGGGGTGACATCAAAAATGCAGTTTCTGAGGCAAAACCAAGAAATAGAGAAGAACTGTGGAATGTAGTCCAATCATCCTGGGCTGGAATACTTGTTCACAGGTGCCAGAAGTTGGTTGACTCCATGCAACACAGATGTACAGCAGTTCTCAGAAACAGTGCTTATACAACTAAATATTAAGTGATTCAAAGGAAAGCAAAATCTTCAAACATTTTTCAGTTTATATATGTGAATATATAGTGAATGTTTGCGTTTTTAATGATGAATACAAACACTGCTATTTTTTTGAACAGTCTAATATTCACTTTTCTTCAATTTTTTTAGAGGAACAAAACAAATGTGATAAATTTTTCTTTCATGTTTTGATGTGGAATAGAATGTGTAGTGTTCCCAATGCATTTGTGTGTATGGAAATAAATGCTATTAGAAGGATTTTGAGCTTTATTCACTTTTTTCAACACACTGCTATTATTTTGAACACAACTGTAAGTATAGTATATGGGGAGAATTGTCAGTTTAAAGGAGCTGCTTCTTCTGATCCATGTTAAAGTGAGCGTGTTTGTTTGAAATCACGTTTTATTCTGTCCAACAGTGGGCCAAAATTGGATGCATAGAGAAATGCAGGGTCCTTGGTTATACTGGTTTCTGTAAGTGTTTTTGACAGTGTTTAACATGCAGTGAGATTTTGATTAGGAAATAGTTTAGATATTAAAATTCTGGGAGCTCTCTTTCAGTATGCAGTCCTTGAAAAACAAGGAGACAAATACAGTGTATTTCAGACTATAATAATGAGCCTCATCAATCTAATGACTTCAATAAATATCAAATCTTTTCTGTAGACAAAACATATAAGTTCTGTTGCTAATACACCTGATATTTTGCAGGAAATCGATGTCGAGGTGCGGAAAGAAATAGAAGAAGCTGCTCAGTTTGCCACCACCGACCCTGAGCCCCCTCTGGAGGAGTTAGGATACCATATTTATCATAATGAAGCACCGTTTGACGTACGGGGTGCAAACCCCTGGATCAAATACAAATCTGTCAGCTAAACATCAGTACTCCTAGTCTTTGTATGTGTACCATATACTCATATGTCTGTTACTCTGTCACCCCTTCAATGAGGACTGTGGCTTGTGTAACCTTTCCCCACTTTACTGGGATAAAGGAGCAGGTAGTCCTTTTCAAGCATTTTATTCTAAGCAGATGGACTTCTAAGTGGTTGGAAAGATTTAAGTCTGCCAATAGCCTTAGATTCTTCTGGTGACACATTAAAGAAACTCCAGTGTCTATTATAGCATCGTATTCTATCCTCAGTACATTACTGAACAGTAATTTATAGGAACTCTCCTGGTTTTAAGTGTGTACAGACAGCTAATCATGTGTCTTACCATGTTTGCATTCTGCAGTCATTAAAATTTGGCCTTGAGTTATTTTTACTGTAATTTTTCCTATATAACTTTTCTGTTATAACTCATAAATCAGTGCATCATTTTCTCATAATATATACAGCCCAAACTTGGTATCCTATTTAGTTTGATTATGAGAAAATAGGTTTATACACATTTACAAATGGAGACTGGGGGGGGGGGGGGCGAGTTTTCATATTTCATCTTAAGTTTGGCATAGTCCTACAGTATTCTGTTCACCCTAGTATTTGCAAAAGCTTCCCTAAAGTAGCAAAGGCTGAGCTCATCACTGCTAACAGTGGGAAGGAGAGTGCACTTTGCATATGCGGCTTTTGAAAGAGGGAGACGCAGGCTCTTGGTATGCTGGGGGTTAGCGTCTTAACGGCTGGAATGTCCTAGGAAACTAGCCAGGATAGGAATTTCTAGAAAATATGGGAGTGTTTAAGCTAGGCTTCTTCAGCGCTACCAAAAAAGGAGTACATGTATGACAATTCCAGTAATCAACATTTTTAAAGCTGAACAGTTTTAATGAATATCAATAATTTATGCATAATTAAAATGGTCCAGCTTGAACCAATGACACTACGTATGTACCATACCTGGCTCATGCCCCTTGAAGCTGGAAATTCAGCCATCCTGCTTCTGGATTCCATGCCGAGCAGCTGCACCTCTGCTTACTGAAGGCAGGATGCTGGCTTCTCAGCACAGCCCCATTCAGAGAATGCTTTGCATTTTCTGAATGAAGGAAAGCACTTTTTGGACAAGGTGGAGAAGCAGGGCAGAAACATCATGCTCTCCACCTATTCCAGATAATGCTTTGCATTTATTCAGGAAACGCAAAATATTCTCTGAATGGCACCCATGCCAAGCGGCCATCCTCCTGTGTTCACAGTGCAGAAGAGCAGTCATTTGGTGTGGGACCAGAAAGCAAGTGGAGATCACTGAAGCAGCTTTGCCTAATTTAGTAGCTTCAAGGGACATCAGTTAGGAATGTGTGTATACATAGCTACATTTGTCCAAGTTGGACCAGTGTAACTTTTTTTATAACTTACTAATGCTTGGAATTATAATTCTACTGGGGCCACTTGACTGTATAGCCTTGGCCTTCAGGCCCTAAAAACTGGTTGGTTATTAGCATGTTAAGATCTACCAATTTATTAGACAGAAAATAGGCCCAAGTATGGTCACCTTTTTTGCTTGCAATGATATGAAGCATGAACTGATCACCCCTGTATTCTGCTGTACACATAGCAGTTTTGAATATTGATGCTATATAAATATTTGAAGAAAATGAAACCACTCTATAAAAAAAAAAAATCAACTTTATTATAAATTTGAATACAAGATGGAGTAATGACAGTGCACGTTTAGTACAGAAATTCTATGTAAACTAACTCTATGCAAGTTTGGAAATGCATTTTATAACTTGTTGCCATTGTGTACTGAAAAACCAAACCAAACCAAAAGGGCACTTTTTAGTGATTTACAGCCAGGTAGAGGTGAACATATATAGAGAAATTGCCTTGAGAACTAGGTTGTGAAAGGTAATATGCGATATTACAGCATAAAACTCAAACTCCGTAATCCTGGCAGAAATGTTAGAAAAACGGAACACAATTCAGATTTATGCATTGTATATATTTTTTTGACTCAATCCCAAGAAAACTACTGCAACAAAATTCAATGCATTGGCTCTGATTTACAATACTGTGATAAGACTTGGTGAATTATACACAATAATGTTGAGATACTGTAAAAGTGTTGATGGGTGTGTAGATTGTGGGAAAGGGATATATGGTGAGTGAAATGAAAGTGATTTATAAGGATAGGCCATAAACAAACAGGATGGTGGTACGGAACATAGAAAAGATTAATATAAATTGTGAAGAACCCAGCCTCTTTTACAGAGTTCAAATGAAACTAAAAGCAGACTCCTGTTTGCAGAAAGCGTTGTTTCTTCGTCTTTGCAGTACAAGGGAACGTTGATGGGAGACCCTTTTCAAATGATAGGACCTCTTATAGTTGCTTCTGTTAGAGCATGAGAAACACTTCAATACCCCAATTTTGGTATATTAGAGCTACTTTGTAAGATGGGTATATCAAAATATATGTAATATAATTGTCATTCCAGGAAAGCCATTACATATTATCAACCACGTTAGTAAAATGCCATTTTCATTAGTTCATTGATAAACACAACTCGGTTGGCCGCAACTATGCCCCACCCTGGACCGCAGGGACACATAATTGGGTGCCTATAGTCTGTCAGTGTTACCCAGGCCAACAGCCCTCCTACTTTGGTGGAGAGGAGGATTTGTCACGGGAGCCTTACTTGCACGCTCCAGTTGGATCGATAAGTAGAACTGCCCCCTCCCGTCCTTCTCCGGACGGCGGTGTGGGGTGCCGGTACACCCTGCAGTTGTCGGTCCTGTGGGGTTCCCTCCTTCCCTTCAGGCTTGGATGGTTAGTCCGCAATATCGCCCCCCCCCCCCCCCCCCCCGCCAGGGGAAATTGGGGCTCACCTGAGGCAAGTAATTCAGCCTCTGTTACGTACACTGTCAGCAGGACGGGCAGCCCCTGGGGTCCTCTGGTACCGAGGTATACCTGTCGGTGGGTTCTCCCCCTTTTCCATATCTGGGTATGCTTTAGAGCTGTGGGGGAGAAGGCGTGTGAACGGGTTTTGCTAGTCTCCCTGGGGCTGTGCCTGTGATTCCTGACAGCTGGTGGGTTCCTGTCTCCTGTACATGTGTTAAATTGGCTGCCTCAGTGGGACTTGTCTTGGAGGGCAGTGTTTGCGATGCAGTCTGGGTTGCACACAAAGGTTCCCCCGATGGCGCGCATGCCACATGGTCATGCCGACCAGTACTCGAGGCTGCGCCTTTGCGGCCTACTGGAGTGGGCAGGACTGCCACCATTTTACTTGTGGGCTTTGCCCTTGTATGCCGCCTGAGTGCCGAGACCTTCTTCCTGGTAGGAACAGGCTGCAGCACCCACCCACTTACAAGCAGCCATTCACCCTTACTTGTGCCTTTACCTGGCGGGCTGGTGCACATCCCTGGCTGGGCGGGGTTACACGCACACATGGAAAAAAAAAAAAAAGGTAAATTAACATATGATTGCATTCTGTGAGGAGCTGGGGGGTGTATTTGCTGTGCCCTCTGTCCCCTTCAGGTTGGGGGCGGGTGCTCCATCCGCTGTTTCAGTGGGCTATGTGGTGACTGTAGTAGCCTGGATTACTCTGAGGTAGCATCTTGCCAGTGTCCTCCAAACTCCCCTTCCTTCAAACTGGGCTTCTGATGGGAGCCAAATGCCTCTCTCCGCAGCTATGGGGGGACTGGGTTGCCCTGTGGTATCTGTGGTCCGCATTTCCTCCACATACAGGATGCTATCTGCCATCGCTGCCATCGCTGTGCCCCATTGGTGAATGCACTAATTGTTTGTGGGGTATGTTTGGACCTGTGGACAAAAACTGTAGCTGCTGACTTTTAAAAAAAAAAAACAGACACCTGTCCCTAAATCCCACGGTAACACCCCCCCCAACCCCCCCCCCCCCCCGCGCAGCCCATTTTACCAGCCACCCTGTGTTCCCGGCGCAGGCATCTTCTGTGTGGGTACCCGGCTATAACAGCTTGCGGCTTCACAGCCTGATGCTCACTGCATATGCGTAACTATCACTGCGCTTTGTGAATGGTCCCATAGTCTTCTGGGACCTGTCACATGTCCCAGAAGACTACGGGAAGAGAGAGGGGGGGGGGGGGAGGACAACTTCCACTTCCGATCTCCTAGGTGATTGCTGCGGAAGTGTGAGCAGGTACCTGCTCCCTAAAGGTGTTAGTTGTTAACGGGGAGCGGAGGACTAGTCCTTAACCCCTTGGCGCAGGTGCCTCCCAGCCCTTTAAGGGTTTCAGGAGGCGGGGTAGGGTTTTTTTAGGGTCATGTGACTGCCGTGATTCGCTGTAACATGATCGGGGAAGGTCCCAATCGCAAGAGGAGATCGGGACCTTTCCGTGAGAACTGGACGTGTGCTGGGAGTGCGCAGGGCGCGCACTCTCAGCACATATGTTTTTCTTAATTGCACGCAAATGTGCAGCCGCTCTGCGTCAAGGCCCAGACGTCGGGAGGCCGCACATTTGCTTGCGGCCGGCGCCAAGAGGTTAAGGCAGAACTTTTAATAATTTTGTAACTATTTACAAAGTTAAACGACCAGCAGACCGGTTGGTCCTGGGATTAAAGTTTGATTGTGACGCATCCCTTGACGCAGCCCCACCTTTCTTCAAACTTTCCATTTTGGCAGTGGTGCTGTGGCTCAAGTATTGGTCGAGTGACCAGACTTTCAAAAAGCTGGGTGGACCTACCCATCTGGGACATTTGGCACATAAGCAAAGTTCCCAGGCCCTGAATCCTTGCCGAGGGCTCAGTCCTCAGAGGAAAGGTTTGACTCCACTCATTTCCAGATGGTGGGGGAATCGTCTTTGCGGGCTCATTGGCCTCCCTCATCCCTAACAAGGGGTATGTGAATTTTTTTTCTCTGGTTGAGAAGGGGTTAAAAATGTTTCTGCCAGACAGGGTTTTTTCACTCCCCTGCAGCTCTCACTAGTGCACCTGTGGGCCCTGTACGGGACTCTTTGGGATCTGCTTTTCGA